GCCTCATTTTTCACACTTATAGGGAACTGAGTCAAATTTATAAAAAATAAAAGCCATTCCCAAATTGATAAATGGTCAACCGATATGAATGGGTAGTTTCAGAGGAAAAAATCAAAACTATCTATATTTATATGAAAAAAATCACAGTCTAAATTCCTATTGATTAAAGCAATGCAAATTAAAATAATTCTGAGATACCACCTCACACTTATTAGAAATGACAAATGCTGGAAGGGACGAGGCAAAATATATACATTAATAAACTGTGGGTGGAATTGTGAACTGGACCAATCATTCCTGAAAAACAATTTGGAACTATGCTCAAAGGGCTCTAAAACTGTGTATACGCTTTAACCCAATAATACCACTACTAGATCTGTATCTCAAAGAGATGAAAGAAAAATGAAAAGGACGTATTTGTACAAAAAAAAAATTAAGGTAGTTCTTCTTCTGGTGGGAAAGTATTGGACATTTAGGAGATGCTCATCAATTGGGGAGCAACTGAACAAGTTGGGGCGAATAATTGTGAGGGAGTACTATTGTGCTATAAGAAATGATGAGAGAGATGGTTTAAAAAAAAAAAAACATGACAAGACCTATATGAACTGATGCAAAGTGAAGTGAGAAGAACTGGGAGATCATTGTGCACAGTAACAGTAATGTTGTGAGGAAAATTCAAGCATGAAACACAAGAGCTGTCCAAGTGGAAGGGGCTACACAGAAGGTGATGAGTTTTCCCTCCATTGGGGGCTTTCAAGCAGAGACTGGACAACTATTTTGGTGGTATGTTATCATTGGAATTCCTCTCAAGTATGGGTTGGATTATACGGATACTAAAGTACCATCTCGGACTGATGCTGAGTGAAGTGAGCAGAACCAGGAGAACATTGTACACGGTAACAGCCTCGCTGTGCGATGACTAACTTTGATACACTTAGCCCTTCTCAGCAGGGATCTAAGACATCTCCAAAAGTCTCATGATGGAAAATGCTATCCACATCCAAAAAAAAAGAACTATGAAGTTTGAATGCAGATCGAAGCATACTATTTGCTATTTTTTTCTTCTCTTTTGTTCTGTTTCCTCTTTCTGGTGGTCCCTCCTATTGGTTCTAATTCTTCCTTACAATATCACTAATGTGAAAATGTGTTTAATAGGAATGTGTATGTATAGCCTATATCAGATTGTGTGCCACCTTGGGGAGGGAGGGGGAGAAAAATTTAAAACTCAAAAGCTTATGGAAATGATTGTTGATCAACCAAAATAAATTAATAAAAAAATTAAATTTGAAGTACCATCTCTCCAATCCTGTGGGAAATGAGGAGCCATCATATGTCTTTTTAAAAAATATATATGATTGCATTATTTTTTAATTAATTAATTTTTGGTTTTCAATATTCATTTTATAAGATTTTGAGTTCTAAATTATTCTCCCTCCTTTCCTTCCTCCCTCCCCAAGATGGCAAGCAATCTGATATAAGCTATCACATTAAACATATTTCTACATTAGTCATGTTGTAAAGAAGAATTAGAACAAAAGGGAAAAACCACGAGAAAGAAAAAAAGAGAGAAAATACTATACTTTGATCTGCATTTAGACTCCATAGTTCTTTTGCTTCATGTGAATAGTATTTTCCAACATGAGTCTTCTGGAATTGTCTTAGATCATTGTATTGCTAAGAAGAGCTAAGTCTATCAAAGTTGGTCATTGCACAATGTGGCTGTCACTGTGTACAATGTTCTCCTGGTTCTGCTCACTTCACTCAGCATCAGTAAGCCTTTCCAGGTTTTTCTTAAATCTGCCTGCTCATCATTTCTTAGAGCACAATAGTATTCCATTACATTCATATACCACAACTTGTTCAGCCATTCCCCAATTGATGAGCATAGCTCAATTTCCAATTCTTGGCCACCACAAAAAGAGCTGCAGAAATAATTTTGTACATGTGGGTCCTTTTCACTTTTTTATGGTCTCTTTGGGATACAGACCTAGGAATGGTATTGCTGGATCAAACATTGTAAGTCTTTAAGCATGGAAGTGGCAGTCAGTTCAGGGCATTAGAAAGATGGCTCATGTGAAAGATAGGAGAGGGAAACCACCAAGAAGGGTTCAGAAAACAGCTAGGATTCTGTTAGGAGAGTCTAGGCAAGAGAGTATGAGGGTCTGTACTAGGCTAGAGACCATGGGGCATGGAATGGAGAACTCAGATGATGGAGATGCAGGGGGAGGGGAAATGGCCAAGATTTAGCAACTGCTACCAGAGAGGGAAAAGTCAAAGAAAACTGGAGGTGCTGGGCTTCAAACCTTGGAGGAAGATAGTGCCACAGAGCTGGATCATCAAGACAAGGGGAAGGTTTGGAAGTGTGGGGAATGGAGCATTTCTTGCTCTCTGAGCAGAGGAGGGATGAGGGTTGGGAGGGGGGAGGGGGGATCTTTCCCCTAAGGAAGGGAAGGGAAGAGAATTCAGTACTTCCCTCAAAGAGGATATCCAGTCCTCCGGTCCATCCCCTTTCTCCTTCTTTCTGCAATTACTCTGAAGAAACCATGGTAATTCTGCCCATTTGCCCACTCCATACAGGAAATGGTTGACCTCCAAAACTAGAGAGGAAAGATCCATTCATCCCCAAGATCGCTCAGCTGACCAGGGAAATGTGAGTTTAACAGGACACTCTCCAAGGGCTTGATGAGTAGTGGGAGCACCTTGGCCAATCTTTCATCTCTGAGGAGGGAACAGGAAGGCCCATTAGGAATGAAACTCCCAATCTCCATTCTATTGGGGCTTCAGCTCCCAGGCTGGCCTCCAGGACTGACTCTCAATTCTTCACAGGGACAAGTGAGAGATATTGGACAGCTCTTCCAAGAAGCTCTTCAATCTCTGGATCCCCAGGCAAGTGTTCAGGATGGGAGGTGGGGGTGGGGAGGAGGGAATCAGTAATAAAACAGCCCCAACCTGAGTCTAACTGAGGCATCAAGGCCAGAACCAAGCCCCGCCTTAATCAGACCCAAAGTATATAGTCACCAGAAAATGGAAATGTTGAGGGTAAAGGGAGGAAGATTCTTCTCATGGAAATTCTCAAAGAACTAGGGTTAGGATTGGAGTGAGGGGTTTGTCTGTGTACACACCCATACCCATAGTGTAATTGGAGATCCCCAGCCTTGCCTGTAAAGTACCATCCTGTCCTGACCAGAAACTGAAAGAACTGAAAAGAGGGGCCTGGGGGCAGAAAGAGACACCAAACTTGCCCATGCCCACTCATGCCTGTGCATGTCAGGTATGGCACCAACTCTCCCTACAAAGTAATTTTTATTCCTAGAGGCTCTGAGAAACTCACTCCTCTCTAGTGCCCAAGTGCACACACGTGTGAACACAAGTGAAATCATTGCCACAAGTTTTGATGAATTAAATTCAACTTTTATCAAGCTGATACCATGCCAAATACTATGCTAGGCTCTGAGTATACAAATACAAAAAAAGAACAGGACCTGCTTGCAGGAAGCTTCCATTCTACCATTCCATTCTTCCATTCCATTCCAGAGGAGGGGATGGGAGTAGGGATATAGCACATACACAGAATATAGAGGAAGTAATTTCAAGGGGGTGAGGGGATTGGGAAAGGCCTCATGTAGGAGGTGGCATCGGATCTGTGCTTTAAAGGAAGAAAGCTAGAACTCTGAGGAGAGAGTATTCCACACATGAAGAGGAGGCCCTACGTGACAGCCCAGGGTAGGAGATGGACAGTTATATTCAGGGAAGAGCTAACAGGCCAAGTTGACTGTAACAGAGGGGAGAAATCAGAAAAGAAAAGTTTGCTGAGTGTATCACCATCTTTCCAGTCAGTCTCTCAGACTCCTCATTCTCCCTCCTCTCTCCCATCACATCCAATTAGTTCCTCTCCCTCTCTCTCCCAACATGTCCAATAAGTTGCCATGTCTTCTCAGTTTACCCTCTACCTCTCTCTTATGTATCCCCTCCTCTCCACTTGCCCAGCCACTGCTGGAACTCAGTCCCTCATCACCCCTCATCTGGACTATGGCAATAACCTCTTCCTTGGTCTCCCTGCCTCTGGCCTCACTGCTGTTCAGTCCACCTTCTATATAGCTGCCAAAGTGCTAAAACAAAGGTCTGATCATTGTTACCCCCTACTCGAAAGGCCCCAGTGACTTACTGTTACTTTTAGGCTCTGGCTGGCACTTAATGCTCTTCACAATCTAACCACAGCCCACCTTCCCTGGCTTACGTACATCACTCCACTTCACACATGGTACAATCCAGCCAAACTGTTTGACCCAAAGTCCAGCACTCTATCCATTGCACCACTTAGTTGCTGCTAGTAGGTGCTTAATAAATGTTGATTGATTGATTGATCATAGAGAAGGTACTAATCTGAATGGGTAGCGGCAGTCTCCTTCTTAAGACTATATATAGTGGAGGAGGGGCCAAGCTGTATTAGTAGAGTGAATTTCCTCTTCTAAAGTTCCCCAATGAAATCATGCATAGTCCCTATCCCTGAGTCTGAAAGTTTGCAAAATACTTCACATCTTTTGTTCTCATCTGTGTCTCTCATGTATGTCCTGTTTTCTTCACTCAAACACCCACCATCAGAGCTCAGGTTCTCATCCCCAGACCAATGGATCTCAAAGTGTGGGTCAAGGGTCCCTGGGAGGTTCCCCAAGACTCTTTTGGGGAGGCATCCACAAGGTCAAAACTATTTTCGTAGTAACACTAAAACATTCCAGTTTCTCATATGAAAATATTGGTAGCTACAACCCACATAAACAAAGGCTTTGGGTGGGGGGGAAGGGCTTGGTCCTCAATAATTTTTAAGAATGTGAAAGGGTCCTAAGACCAAAAAGTTTGAGAATCACTAATATGCATAATTCTAATAGCTTCCTAATTGTTCTCTTGACCTCATGTCTCCACCTCTCCCCCTTCCTCCCCTGCTAATCCATACTCCACTCAGATACCGAAGTGTGGTTGCTAAGTGGCACCATGGATAGCGCTCTGGGCCTGAAGGCATAAAGACTTAGCTTTAAAACCAGCCTCAGACAAAACTTACCATATGACCCCTGCATGCAAATTGCTTAACCTCTGTTTGCCTCAGTTTCCTCAGCTGTAAAACGGAGATTAGAAAAGGACCTGACTCCCAAGGTTGTTGTGAGAATCAAATGAAATGGTATTTATAAAGCATTTAGCCCAGTGCCTAGCACACAGTAGGTGTTCAGATATCACCTTCTATGATCTCCGCCCCTGCCACCAATTGTTATTGCCTCCTCCTCACCCCCACCTTTGAAATCCCTTTGTATTTATTTTGTGAATACTTACATGTGTCCATAACGGAATGTAAGCTCCCTGAGAGCAGAGACTGAGTCCTAAGTGACTATCACAGTGTTTGGCACATAGTAAGGGTTTAATAAATACATACGTGTTGATTGGTTGTTTGATTTCAGGAAGAGGTGCTGTGGGGTAAGACCCGAAAGGAGCTGGAGGCATTTCTGTTTTCAGAACCAATCCTGAAGTGGAAGCAGGGCAGAATACATTCTCTGGGGGAAGTCTTGTGGTCCTCCATGGTCCAGTTCCACAGCCGCCACACAGAGGTAATAATGCCCTGGCCTCCACACCACCATATAGACATTGTCCACTCGAACCCAGGTCAATCTCTGGACTTCTGGCCAGGGAGAAAATTTCTCATTTAGGGTCTGTTGTTCTTTGCTGTATTTCGGTGTGCCCATCTGTAAAATGGGTACAAAATTGTAGATTCTCAACTAAAGTTGGAGACTATGAGGAATAGTGGGAAGAGTGTTAGCTTCAGAATCAGAGAACTTGAGTTCAAAGCCCATTTCTGACTCTTATTACCTGTGTGACCTCGGGTAAGTCACTTCACTTTCTTGTGCCTCAGTTTCCTCAACTGTAAAATGAGGAAATGCAGCTAGGTAGAGCGCAGGGCTTAGAATTAAGAGGACCTGAGTTCAAATCTGGCCTCAGACACAAGCTGTGTGACCCTGAGCAAGTCACTTAATCCTTTTGCCTCAGTTTCCTCATCTATAAAATGAACTGGAGAAGGCAATGGCAAACCACTCCAGTATCTTTGCCAAGAAAACCCCAAATGGGGTCATGGAGAGTCAGACATGACTGAAAAATGACTGAAAAGTTTTAAAAAATGAGGGTATTGGAGTAGATGGCTCCATCTGGGCTCAGAATCTATGATCCCATGCCCATTGGCCCATGTGTCAGCCCCAAGGGAAGCAAATTGAGGTTTGATCGAGGAAGAGCTTTCTAACAATGAGAGCTATCCCAAAGCAGAGTGGGCTGCCTGGAGATGTGGCAGGCTCTTCAAGCAGAGCATGGATGCCAGCTTGCTGGGCATGGGATGGTGGGGATTCCTTGGGTGGGTGGTTTATACTGGACAGACAGAGGGGCACTGAGGTCCCTACAGCTCTCAAATTCTCTGATTCAGTGAAGTCAACACATGCTTGGAGATGAAGCTTGCGCGCGCGCGCACACACACACACACACACACACACGGAAGACCTCCTGGAGGGATAGAAAAAGAAGCTTCTTCAGGAAAAGGACAGAAGAAGGCCAGAGAGGGAGGTCCTAGACTGAGGGGGTAAAGGAAGACCCCTTCCCATTCTCCCAGAGAGGAAAGGAGGAAAGGGGTTGTTGTTGGTCAGTCGTTTCAGACTCTCCATGACCCCATTTGGGGTTTTCCTGGCAGAGATACTGCAGTGGTTTGCCATTTCCTTCCTTAGCTCATTTTACAGATGAGGAAACTGAAGCAAACAGGGTGAAGTGACTTGCCGAGGGTCACACATCTAGTAAATGTCTGAGGCCAGATTTGAACTCAGGGAGATGAGTCTTCCACACATGACGCTTTACCCACTATGGTGCCACCTATCTGCCCAGGCCAAATGAAAGCCATTGTGGCCAGAGAGCTTTCCTGTCCCCAACTCACCAGGGAGAGTTTTGAGAGAAGGATCTTGTACCACATTTGGGATTCACTTAACAAATCCTGCCAGCATATATAGACATAGCGCCCAACTGTGACCAGACCCCGACCTCTCCCAGCAGGAGGCACCTGAGAGGTACCTGGTGCTCTTTCCCTCCCACGTTCTGGTTCTGTCGCTGGCCCCGGAGCATCAAGCTTTTGTCTACCAGGTGAGCCTTCCTCTTCCTCCTCCTCCTGGACCCCCCCCCCATTCCCCTCCTCACCCTACGGCCTCTGACCTGTGTGTCTGATTCTGGGGAGCAAAGGGGGTGGGTGGATTAGGTTGAGGGCAGCTGCCACAGATTGGGTAAGGCACTGATGACATGAAGTACGAGGGAAAAGGACAAAACTTTTATTCTGAGTGTCTGCTGTGTGCCAGGCACTGTGTTAAGTGCTTTAAAAATATTATCATTTGATCCTTACAGCCAGCCACCTTGGGAGGTAAGTGCTCTTGTTACAGTTTTACAATTTTCAGTGTTTTTTTACAGTTCTGACCCATTTTCAGTTGAGGCAGACAGAAGTTAAGTGACTTATCAGGTAGTTAGTCTGTTTCACAGGTCAGATTTGAGCTCGGGGCTTTCTGACTCCAGGCCTAGTGCTCTATCCACTGAACCAACCTAGCTACCTCAACGAGCATCTCTGTGAACGTGAGCTAACATAGGGCCCACAACTCCCTCACTTCACTACTTCCCCAGAGCCATAACTAAGATGAGGCAATCAGGAGTTTGTCCCAGATACCAACACTTAGAAGGCAACCTTTGTTACGCTTGAGGTTAGCACGTATTTGACAAGAATTAGTTAAAATGGGAAGCTGACAGACGGCTTCCCCTCCCAGAAATGATTGATGTCCTGGGACATTCCCTCTACAAGTACCTATATCCTGAAGTTTCTGCTCCTGGCTAGGACCTGGGCCTGGAGTCTTAAAGTCATGTTTCATGCTGCCTGCCCAAGGTCCCAGAATTGTTAGTTACTGCCCTGTTGCCTTAATTATTAAGAAGAGTGAGAACAGGAAGGAGAAAACTGGGGACATCCAGGGGCCCAGATGTCTAAGCACCCCAGAGGGATTCAAGAAATGGGGCGGAAGTCTTATCTTATTCCTACCTGCAGGGACTTCTTCCCCTCACAGGGCTGAGGGTGAGAGAGCACCAGGGTGACCAGACTGGGCTTGACATCTTCGGTAAGTCCTTATTCTCAGAGCCTCTCAGACCATCACAGCCACCTCCTTCTTGGGGCGAACAAGAGATTCTGTACCCAAGAATGGGCCTAGAGGACAAGGAACCAGGGCCCTCTGTGCCTGGGGTGGAGAATCAGAGCCCTCTGTGGCCTAGAACAGGGATTCTTAACCTGGGGTCTATGAACTTAAAAAAAAAAAAACTTGGATGAGTATTTCAGTGTAATTGGTTTCCTTTGTGACCCAAAGTACTTTGGTTTGTTCATTCAGACATTGTTCTGAAAAGGGGTTCATAGCTGCTAAGGGTAGTGCTCCAAGTCTGTACTTACAACTCCTGGGGAGGCTGAGGCTGGTGGATTGCTTGACAGCTGTATGCTAAGCCAATCCTGTGTCTGCGCTAAGTCTGGTGTCAATGGGGTGAACCCCTGGGAGTAGAGGGTCACCTAGTTGCATAAGGAGGGGCAAGCAAGCCCATGTCAGAAAAATGGAGCAGGTCAGAGCTCCCATACTGATGAGCACTGGAGTCAGCCCCATGAGTGGCTACTGTACTTCTAGCCTGAGTGAGAGAGGGAGTCCCAGTGACAAAAAAAGTGGGTGGAGGGGACAGTGTGTCCGTAGACTTCACCAGATTATCAAAGGGGTCCATCACACACACACACAAAGGTTAAGATGAAGAATCAGAGCCATGGGACCAGAATTTCATAAATTTTAATCTTGAAGGGACTTTAGGGCCCATCTAGTCACCTTTTCATATTACAGATGAGGAAACTGAGGTACACATAGGGCAAGGTCACACAGATAGTAACTAGAAGATCCAGGGTTCTAACCCAGGCCTTTTGATTCCACTCTTTCCCCCGAAACCATATTGTTCCCAGAAGGGGGATTGAGGCCATCTGAGCCTGAGATGGTGAATTGGGCTACTCATGTTCATAATGTCTGGGCAAATCATTGGGGTCCCCTGTAAATGAGATGAGGAATTGGGGCTTTCTGCCAGAAATGGGGATTTGGAGGCTCTTAGGGCCTCGGACACAGTAGTGGGGTGGTGCTCCCACAGGTTCCATGATTGAGACCAGGACCATCTTCTGTGGGACCCCTGACAAGTGCCGGCTCTGGTTTCTTGGGCTCCAGCATCGAATCCAAGAGTTGAAAGGCCAGAACTTGGAACCACATTCTAGTCCCCTGTCTCTGCTGGTGAGTCTCCATTTGGAAAACTGAGGAAGCTTCCATCCCAGAGGACCACTGAGGGGGCACACTAGAAAAGACTTGAGTCTCTGCCAGGTAGTTGTAAAGAGGTGCCCAGATGTGTCCCACCACCTCACACACACACACTACCACCTGTCATAGTAGGAAAGAAGTTAGAAGGGTGAACCTCAAGGAATAATCTAATTATACACCTCCCTCCACAGACCTCTATCCAATACTCTGCCTGGACTGATTCCTCAGTGATTAGCATCCTCACCTCCTTATACTCACCCCAGTCCAGTGATTCTGAACCCTGTTACAAACCCTGTTCCCCATCCCCACCTGGCTGCTCCCTACTCCTAGCCACCTCAACCCTACCTCGACCACCCCCCACCCAGTGTTTTCAGTCCAGATCATCCTATACCTTCTACTGAGCCCTCTGGAATGCTTACACCATGATGAATAAAGCTTTCCCTTTCTCACTCCTTCCATTTTCTGGCCCTCCCTGAGAACTGGCTCCCTCCCAATGAAGTCCCTTTAGTCATCACCAATTCTGAATTGGCTATACTTTTTCTCATACGCTCTCATATGCCCTGATCCATTGTTTTCTGTAGCACAGTTGGGATATACATTGTTGTTTACAGACTTTTCCCCTTCCACCTTCACTAAGCAACTTTGCCCTCATACTACAGGACTTCAACATACATACTTAATACTTCTTCAAATACCCAAACTTCCCAGTTCCTCAGTCCACTCATTTCTCCTGACCTGTTCCTCCACTCCACCTTAGTTACTAGCAGGCATAAATGGTCATACTCTTGATCTTGGGGTTATATACCATTAATCGTGTGACACTCTTAAGAATTCCATTTCCATGTTCACAGAGTATGAGACCCCTTGATCTGATCACAGTCTTTCATTATTCCATTTTCCCTCTGCCTTATGACTGCTGACCCTGCTCTTTACCCTCACCATGTCCTCCATTACCCCCACCTCTCAGTTCTTTCCCAAGATGTGACCCCTGTAGTGGCTACACTCCTTCCTTCCCTATCTCAACAACCCCTTGGTGAACCAACTCAATTCTACACTATTCCCTCTCTATGCTAGAATTCCCTGTCCCTTTGACCTATCATCGACCATGTCTGATCCAGCCCTGGATTACTACCGCCATCTTCTCCTTCATTCCTACTCACATGCTGCTAAATGGAGCTAAAGGAAATCATGAAACCATATTGGGTGGTGCCAAATACAAATCTGTTTTATCTCAACTCAACTGGACCCTTACTATAGCAAGGCAAACATTCACTACCCCACTCAGCATAAGGTTTGGCTATTCCAAACCTTGCCTCTCCTCAAGCCTCCCATGGCACCTCTACCCTCTTAAATGAAGACCTTGCCTTAGATTTCCCTGAAAAAAACTGAGGCCATTCTCAGTGAGCTCCTTTTTCCTTTTCTCTTCACCATCATCTCCCACTGTCTCTTCCTTCTAGTCTCTGAGGACATGGCTCTTCTGGCCAAGCCCAATCCTTCATGCACTCTTGATCCCATCCCCTCCCACCATCCTAAGCGGATTTTCCCCTCTATCATCCCCACTCTTTTGCTTATCTTCAGTCTCTCCCTGTTCACTGGCTGTTTAGGGAGGACTAGCATTTCTAGTGTGAGGTCTTGATGAGCCCTTTTTAGTACTACATCCACCTTCAGTATTCACCCGTTACCCAACTCTCACTTGTGCCACCAAAAAGCTATAGCACCTGCAGTGGCCATGCCCTGATAAAAACCATCTTGGCAGACAGGCTAAAACCAGGTTGGGGGAACCAATAGATCTCAAACCCATCAGTGAGTTGAGGGGTGCCAACCCCAAGCATATGAAGACTTCCCCTGGCGGAATGGGAGGATGAGAACAATTTGTTCCAGCAGCCATGAAGGTGGTTGAAGCAGGTGCTGTGGAGTGCTTAGAGCTTGGTCAGACATCAAAGATGCCGAGGTCAGCCACTGCATCCTAGGCCATCAGCAGTCTTCTTGACTTTGTCTTGCTACTGGATTTCCATGACTCTGTAAGAGAGAGTGAGGCTGGGGGCTTTGCACAGTTCTGCCTCACTTAAATCCAATTCACACGCAAGTCAAGACACAACCCTCGGGTGTCATTGGTCCTCTTCAAAAACAAAGGATGAACAACATCAAACATGCCCATGTCTCCCTCATTCTTTAAAAAAAAAACCCTCATCTGCTCCATCCATCTCTGCTATCTATTGTTCCACATCTCTTCTGCCTTTTGTGGCTACACACCTTGAGAAGACCATCTACAATAGGTACGTCCATTTCCTCTTCTCTTACTCTCTTCCTAACTCTCTGTGGTCTGGCCTCTGACCTCCCCATCCCCCCAAAACTGCTCTCTCCAAAGTGACCAGAGATCTCTTCATTGCCAGATCCAATGGCCTTTTCTCAATCCTCCTTCTCCTTGCCCTCTCTGCAGTCTTTGGCCCTGTTGATCACTCCCTCTTCCTTTCCTCTTCTCTATAGGTTTTCAGGACACTCCCTTCTTACTCTCCTGGTTCTCTCCCTATTTAGCTGTCCACTCCTTCTCGATCTCCTTTCCTTTGATCCAGATCATGCCCAGCAACCATGAGGGTCCCGCAAAGCTCTGTGCTGGGCCCTCTTCTTTTCTCCCTCCATACCAGGGGTCAGCAAACTCCAGCCAAAGGGCAAAATCTGGACTTGCTTTTGTATGGCATGTGAGCTTAAAAAAAAAAAAAAAGATGGTTCTTACCTTTTTAAATACAATAAAAACTCATTGTCTGCCCTATACCATCTCTGCTGGTGATCTCACCAGCATCAGTGGGTTTAATTAGCATTTCTATGCAGATGACTACATCTGTGCACTTCTGATGGCTGCTCCTTTTTCTCCTCTGAGCTAGCTGCCTTTGTTATGACTGTCTGTAAGCACCTCCACTTCAGCACTTCTGCAATTCAACTCATCTTTTCCCCAAAACTTGCCCCTCTTCCAGACTTCCCTATTAGTGTTGAGGGTACCACCCTATCACTCAGGCTGGAAAACTCAGCACCATCCTCGACTCCTCACTCATACTTAACCCACAGCTCTGATGGGTTTCCAAATTTCAACAAATTTTATAACTTCTCTCCTATACCCATAGTCACCAGCCTAGTTCATCTTCCTATCACCTCTCACCTAGACTGTTCCAATGGCCTCCTAGCTGGTCTACCTGCTTTCAGCCTCCCCCTTCCCCAACTCCAATCCATATTCCACTCATCTGCCAAGGTGACTTCAAATCCAAAGGACTCGTCCCTGTTGTCCCCTGCCCCCAGAGGCCTTAGCAGGTGGTACAAGGGGCCTGAGTGGATACAGGAGGGAGGCCGTCCAAGAGCTGGGAGAGGACTTTACATATTATCAACTCTACCCTCCTCATTTTACAGACAGGGAAGCAGGCTCAGAGAGGGGACAAGGCCTGGTCAATGATATATACGGCCCCAACTCCTGGGACTGCTGTTCCCCCTCTGCGAGCCCTCACCTCCATAGACAAGGCCATAGTGAGAGGGTCCTGGGAAAGAGGTCCTCCAGGGACCAAGAGGTATCCTAGATCAAGCTCTTCAAGGACTAAATGGGAAATGAAGTCTGAGCTAGGGTTGAGTGCCCTTCCCAGTCTGGCACAATCCACCTATTTGTCACTAGAGGGCAGGCGTAAGCTACTTCAGGACCCATAAGACTGGGACCTGTACTAAGCCCCATTTCCCTGAAATAGCTTTAGCTTCCCTGGCCCCAAGCCTGCCTCACCCAGGGACCCTCACACACACACACTTCACTTCCTCCCAGGTCCTCTACTTCCAGCCAACTGGGGCCCTGGTGACCTGGGCTCCCATCCCTCCTCCCCACCTAAGGGCAGGAAGTGAGGACGGGCTCTAGCCCAGAGCAAGGTCCCCTTTCCAAGGCTGTTCTGGGATGATTGGACTAGGTCCTGTCTGGCCTGGCCTGGTTTGAGCTGAGTAGAGGGTCCCCATTAACAGATAAGGCTTGGTTTGGCCTTTGGTAGTGAGCCCTGGGTCACTGGTCCCAGGCTGGGCTGGGGTGGGCTGGGCAGGGCTGAAGGATTCCTAGTACTAAATTGGGCTTAACCAAGCCTTAGGGGCCAGGTCCTGGGATCCAAGCTTGGGGCTGGGCTAGGTTGGGGTAAGTCTGGGCTTTAGGGGCTTGATCTGGGGGTGCTTGGCCCCTGATGCATGCTAGTAAGCTGGTCAGGGCTGTGTTGAAATGATGGGTCTGGTTTTAGGTCTCGAGATATCCTGGGTTGGGTCATGGGATCTAGGTTCTGGTTTTAAGGTTCCAGACTGAGCCGGGCCTGGGACCTGGGACTGGACCAGGTTGAAGAGTAGGGCCTACTCTTAGAAGAGTGGATCCTGGGACCCGGGTCTTGAGATGAGCAGGGCTGGAGGGACAGACAGGGCTAGGGGCTGCATCCTGGGTCTTAGACCCTGGTTCCCAGGCTAGGTTATAGGGGCAGACCTGAGTTGGAGCCTAGGTCCTCCACCCCGGTTCCCAGGCTAGGCTTGGCTGGAGTGGCAGAGCCTGGGGGCTGCATCCTGGGTCCTTGGCCCCTATGTCCCAGACTGGGCTGAGTTGGGCTACAGGGAAGAGAGGAGGGGTGGGCTCTCCAGACACCCTGATCTGGGTCCTGCAGGTTCCCTGTGATGAGCCCTGGAAGAGGCAGGAGCTCCGAAGTCGCCTCCTCTGCTCTCCCATCCAGCAATGGGAGGGAAAGCCCATTCAGCACCTGGGACCAGTACAAGCTCTGGTGCCTGTCCAGGTGGCCTATGCAAGGTCCAGGGTGAGTGTCCTACAGGGCAGAATTGGGGGGCTGGCGAGAAAGGGGGACATAGGTTCAAAGGGACCAGGCTGTCTGCTGAGAACTCCTCCAAACGTTCCTTCTGGGTACTTCCCTGGGCTGTCCTCTCTACCTCCCTTCCAGACTCTGTTACCAATGATGTCACAGAACTAATTTTAACTTTAACAAATATTTTTTCACTGTATGCCCTCTCTTATCTATTAAAAACAATAACAGTGACAACCGCAAATAGCATGATGACAGCTTACAAAGTTTTTTCCTCAGAACAGTCATGGAAGGGGAGGATTACAGGATATTGTGACCCCCATTACATAGGTGACGAGAGGACGGTGACCTGCCCAGAGCCATCCACACAGGAAGTCGGTGTGGGAGCTCAGGACAGAGCCGGGTTCCCCAGCTCAGGGGTCTGGGCTGCAGGCCTGTCGCACTGTCCTTTCTATAGGAGTTCCAAGATCGCCTCCTGCTTCTGTTTGCCGAGGACCTGGTGTTCTTGTCTCTGAGCCCTGGAGGCTCTGGCCTCATCTACCAGGTAGAGGACCGCCCCTGGCCTCTAGAAGCCCCAGGGATCAGGGTTTTCCTAATGACCACAGTGGGGAGGTCGTTGGAGGGACCCCAAACCAAGGAAAGAACAAGGGATTAGCAAGTAAGGGGCTTTCTCTGGCCCCCTGGCCCCCTTGTCAGGCCGCCCTTGACCTTGGCTATGTTGGAGGCAAAAGCCGAGGACAGAGGTGGGCCCTGACAGTCCTGGAAGGAGGTGAGAGAGGAGCAGAACCTGACCAGAGACCTCACAGTCCAGGAGGAGAAGGAAGAGAGAGGTCTTGGCCGTGCCCTCAGGAAGCCGACCATGGGGGTTGGGGGGAGCTGTCAGATGATTCTTTCTGGGAACTTTGGGGGAGAGGGGATGAGTCCTAAAGGCCACAAGAGTAAATGCTGTCAGGCCTCTGGAGGAAGCCATGAATGTGGGCAGGAAGAATCACGGCGGGCTTCTTGGAGGAGCGAAGGTGGTTTTTGGTGGTCATGGGTTGGCCCAGAGCAGAGGGGAGGTGATTCCCAGAAGTGAGGAAGATGGGTATGGGCAGGGCTGGGGACCAGGCCCTGCAGATGATAATCACAGCTCCCATTTCTACATCATTGTAAGGTTTGCAAAGCACTTCAAAGACATCATTTTATTTGATCCTCACAACCCGGGGGGCCAAGCCCTGTACCAAGGCACTGTGATTATCCCTGTTCTATAAAAGAGGAAGCTGAAGGTAAATGACTTACCCAGGGTCACACATCTGTTGTATGTCAGAAGTAGGTTTCGAACCCAGGTCTTCCTGACTCTAAACCCAGTGCTCCGTCTACTGTACCAGGCTGCCCTCAGATGAGAGCCAGGGAACAAATAAATCCTTGTTCCTCTCTGCAGGGAAAGCTCCCTCGGGCAGGAATTCGCGCTCAGGAGAAGTCAGCCATTCTCGGGAGGCTGGAGTTTGAAATGACAGGTAGGGGGACATAGAGAGTGGGGATGGGGTGTCCTAGGAACAGCACTGTCTTCCCAGACTTCACCCCACTCAGAATCCACCTGATCCTGCCCCACTCTCCCCACTCTGTTCCTTAGGCAACGTGATGGAACCAATCCTGGTGGCCTGCTCGGAGGCAGAGGACTATGAAATGTGTCTGTTCCACTTGCAGAAGGTATGGGAAGAGCAGGTTATCCCATTGGCTCTTAGCTCCATGTCAATCTCCCCTTCCCCACCTCACCGTGGAGATAAGGTCTCGCCTCTGACCTTCAAGCAGGGACGTGGTAGATGAGGAAGGGAAGGAGGATTTGGGACGGGAAAGGCTCTGGGAAAAGAGCACAGAGCTAAACCCTCAGGAGTTTACAGTCCGAGGGAGACAGAGTAGGGACAGACCTGGGCCCTGCCCTCAGGGAGCTTACAACCTGTGAGTACCATAGAGCAAGAAAGCTGGGTCCAGTCCTCCGAAACTCGTGGTCTAATTTTGTTTTATTGGGTACTGTCATTGAGTTGTTTCAGCCGTGCCCGATTCTTTGTACCCCCGTTTGGAGTTTTCTTGGCAGAGATACTGGAGTGGTTTGCCATTTCCTTCTGCTCATTTTACAGATGAGGAAACTGAGGCAAACAGGGTGAAATGACTTGTCCAGGGTCACAGAGCTAGTTAGTGTCTGAGGTCAGATTTATTGGGTATGGGGGATGGGTATGGCCCATTAGGGAACAAGGAATACTTAGTAAGAGCTGAGTGATGGTCTCAGATCAGGCCTAGGCTTAGGTACCGTCCAAGCTTAAGAGAAAGAGAGAGGCAGACCTGGCCTTGGGAACTGACTACCTTCCATCTCTTCCAGCCTGGCATGCAGCTTCCTTCCATGCCCAGCCAGCCTCCGATTATTCCCAAGAAGCTGAAGAGGATTTAGGAGGCAGCCAAGCAGTTCCCCCCTCCAGACAGAGCCCCTCTGTCTCTTACCCCATCCCCCGCCTCACTCCACCCTCTGCTCATACAGCTGGACATTTCTCATACAGAGACTCTGGGGAAGCAACAGGAGGCCAGGGGGCCCGACATCCAGGACTCTGAGGAAGGGCCTCCACTCCAGGGCCTGGTAACACCCAAGGAGGCTAGTTTTCCAAATCAGGGGTGGGGTGCTGCTGCCAGGACACTGGCCAAGTTCCTGGCATCCATCCCAGTAGACCCAAGGGACCCACGCATCCTGTGACGTGCTGATGAGGACTCAGACCTCAGGTTACCCTTCCTTCTTTGGTCAGATCATAGAGTGAGTGAAAAGGAATAAATGTGAAATAAAGCCAGAACATTAGGCTGGGCCCAGAGGCATTTATCCTGGGGGCACGAGGGAACCAGTGAATACTCTTGAGGCAAGAAAAGCCCTTCAGGGCAGCTAGATGATAAAGGAGAGGCCAGGTAAGGGAGCTGCCAGGAAATTCCTGGCCTGGAAGCTACTAGAAACATTCCTAGGAGCGAGTCCTGGGTAGGGGCAGGGCTGCTTTTGATCATAACTATAACTAAGGTGAGGTAACTGGGGCTTTGCCCCAGGGTGCTGGATTCATTCACACCCCTTCAGAAGGAGAATCAGAATTTAGCCTCTAGTTAGCAAGAATTAGTTAAAATAGGAGCTTACCAGGTGGACTCTCTTCTCACAGGTGAGCTCCTCCTGAGGTCTCCCTCAATTGCCACCTACACCCCTCCACAAAGTAGGCCCAGGCATAGCAAATGCTAACTGTGACTCCATCTCTTCTGACCTCCAAGGACCCGTGCCTGGCAAGCTAAGGTTTTAGAACTAAGGCCCCCACTTTCTCCCCTAGATAAAGAGGTCCCCCACCCTCACACATACTTGTTGCTCAGATGCCATGCCTTTACAAGGGGAAAGTGCTGACAAGCGCAGACGGTCCCATGCTGGATGTCAATGTTCCCATCTGTCTAATGCGGACAAATATAACTCCCTCCTGACCCCCCTTTCTGTGTTTGGAGAAGATAGCCTACCCACCTTTTACCGCTGATTATCTGTGAGTCATCTGGATGGTGGGGGTGGGGATGGAGATGGGGGGCAGGCAGGGGAATTTAAGTTCTGTCCAAGGATTAATGGGGAGTAGCACTGATTCCGTGGCATCAGTCCAAGAGAGCTAGGGGCCATGGGAAAGACCAAGATGGTTTATTCCCCACAGGATGCCAACCCTTCTCCAGCCTGCCTTCCCTGCAGGCAAACCTTATAATTTCCCAATATTTTTTTTCTAGAAACCAAAAAAAGAGGGGGGTAGGGGGTGTCAGCCTCTTCCTCTTTAACCTGTCCCCCAGGGCTCCCTCTTTCTGCTGCCTTGGGTCGTGTTTACCAGAGTGTGGCCACACTCTGTGAACACAGGAAGCTGTTCTCAGAAGGCAGGGCCCTTGGCCAGATACCCTAACCCTTATCAGCTGGGCTCTTCCGGCTGAGCTTTGCTCTCCCCGCTCCTAGAGAAGGGTGCATCTGAGCAGGGGGGACTGCAACTGCAGGGAAAATCAGGGACCTGGGGGCTTGGGAGAGAAAAAGGGGAGGGGGAAAGCCCCTGGACCCTGAGCAGAGGCTGGGAGCGAGAAAGCAGAGGGGCATAGCCTGAGCAGAGGCTGGGAGCGAGAAAGCAGAGGGGCATAGCCTGAGCAGAGACTGGAAAGGGAGATAGAGGCCCCCCAACTGCTTGTCAGAGCCCATCAAGGGGAGGGGACCCTGTCCTGGGCCTCCCCAGCATCCAGGAAAGGCGGGGACTCTTCCTGGATATAAGAGTCAGGGTTCTCTCTGCCTTCTTCCTCTGCAGTCCTTCCTTCCTCTTCCTTCAATGATATGGTGTATGTGCCGTTAGTCCTGACTCTGATACTTACTCCCTGGGTGAGCTGCTTCATAGCTCTGAGCCTCAGTTTCCTCATCTGTAAAATGAGCTAGAGAAGGAAGTGGCAAACCGCTCCAGTATCTCTGCCAAGAAAACCCCAGATGGGGTCACGGAGAGTCAGACGTGGCTGAAAAACAACTGCTATCTGTAAAAGAAAAATCCGCGATTATCCAGTCTCTGCCTGCCGACCTGATATGACTGGGAATGTCAAGACAGCCCACTCTGCTCTGGGACATTCCACATTGGTGGGCAGCTCTCTCTCCAAGTTCTCGAGCAAGTGTCAGCCTGCACATCTGTAATACAGAGAAATTCTTTACCAGGAGATCTCTCTACCAGTGAAATCACAAGTCTAGTCCAAAAAAAAAAAAGTTTGCTTTTTTTTTCCTTTGTGTCAGCTCTAGACTGGCTTGTTAGGAACTTCCACCCATCCTTCCTGGCAAAGTAAATCCAATCTTCTTCCACTGTATTGTCTTTGGAATATTTGCCCCGGTCCACCTTCTCTTCTCCAGATTAAACATCTCTATGTCCTTTCATTGACCCTCTAACGTCCCAGACTCCAGGCTCTTCATTCAGTTACAAAGGAAAGACTTTAGATTAAAAAGGCCAAGGTCCCCCACTGCACCCGGGACCATCTCCAGTCATCCTGACTTACGTCTCGCCACTGGATGCCTCTGGAGGAGAGAGCGAGGCTGGTGACTTTGCATAGCCCTGCGTCCCTTCAATCCAACTCGCTTGGGAGTCGAGACCACCCTTGTGATGTCATTGGTCCTCTTCGAGAATGATGGATGAATGGTAACAAACAGATCTGCACATCTTAAAGCTCTATCTAATTGCTGGCTATCGCCACCACCACCGTCATCAATGGCCTTCCTAAAATATGGCACCTCAATCAGAACAATATTCTAGCTGTGATCTGACCAGGACAGAAAACCCATATCAGGCAGCTGGTGGTACGGTAGATAGAAGGCTGGGGGTGGAGTCAGGAGAGTTCAAATCCAGCCTCAGATTCTTCCTAGCTGTATGACCCTAGGCGAGTCACTTAACCTCTGTTTGCCTCAATTTCCTCATCTGTTAAATGGAGATGATATTCGTGAAGTGCTGAGCACAGTACCAGGCACACAGTAGGTACTATATAAATTTTGGCTATTATTATCCGATTGAGCTTGTGGCTCACTAAAACCCCCAGATCTTTTTCAGACAAAGTATGTTGTCCTCCTTCATTTCTTTTCTTTTCTTTTTTCTCTCCTTCATTTATAAAGGGAATCAGTGACGTCATAGGTGATTTCTTGCCTTACTCATGAATTGGATTTAAATGAGGCAGTTGCCCAGTCATCAGCTTTGCTCTCTCCCCTAGAGTCATCAAAGCCCAGTGGTGGGGCAAAAGTCAGGATGATTGGTGATGACCCAGGATGTAGTGGATGACCTCGGCATCTTCCATGTTTTACCAAGCTCACGACTCCCACTTCAGCCGCCTTTCTGGCTGTTGGAACAAATTGTTCTTCTCCACCCATTCTACTCCATGCTTGGGGCAGACATTCCCTAACCTGCCAATGGGTTTGAGGTCTGTTGGTTACCCTCAGCCTGGTTTAGCTCACCAAGGTGTGCCTGCCATGTATGCTACAGCTTCTTGGAGACACAGGTGAGGCCTGAGTGAAGGGGGACACCAAAGGTGGATGAGCAGATCTGAAAAGGGTTCAGCAAGCCCCTGCACCAGAGCTGTTCCCTCAAGAGCTGGGCCTGGAGTCAGGAAGATCTGAGTTAGAATCTGGCCTCAGACACTTCCTAGGTGTGTGACCCTGGGCAAGTCACTTCATCCTGTTTGATTCCTCATCTGTAAAATGAACTGGAGAAGGAAATGGCAAACCACTCCAGTGTCTCTGCCAAGAAAACCCCAGATGGTGTCCTGGAGAGTCAGACACAACTGAAAAACAACTGAACATCTTATACTTGTGAAGCTGATTTCTCTAACCCGAGTTTAAGATAGCTAAACAGCTAATGTTTACATGGTGCCTACTATGTGCTAAGCTAAGCACTTTATCTCATTTGTTCCTCACAACAACCCTAGGAGGTAGGCGATATTATTATCTCCATTTGACAGAAATGAAACTGAGGCAAACAGATTAAGGGACTTTACATTAATCCCTCTTCAGTTTGATCCTAGCAGATCCAGTCTAATTACCAGCCCTGGCAAGGTGCTATTGGAACCTGCTATCCAGAGTGTAAGCCACTTCTCCTAGCTTTGTACAATCAATCATTTATTGATTATTATTTACTTATTCAAGCAAGCATTTATTAGGCACCTTCTGTATGCCAGGCACTGTGCTAAGCAATGGAGGCATTAGGTTTTCTCTTTCAGTCTAGCCATTCAACCAGTTCTGAACCCATCTAACTGTATTACCCACTAGCCCCCATCTCTCCATCTTTTTCACAAAAATACGGAGCTACTTTCTTTGTCAAGAGCTTGGCTGAAAACCTAGGTAAACCATAGATAGAGCCTTCCCCTGACCGAGCAATTTAGTGACTTTGACCTAAAAGGAAATGAGCTTGGTCTAGAGGGGCTAAAAGGATTTGTTCTGTGAAGTTTGGAGTCAGTCAAAGGGCCGCACTTGAGGACCTAGAGGGCCACATGTGGCCTCGAGGCCTCAGGTTCCCCACTCCTGGTCTGCTGGAATGGTGTTGTGTCTTTGTGCGGGCCACTTGTGTTTCGGACCCTATTTCCTTAATAACATATTCTATAATATTCTAGGAACTGAAGTCAAATTCACAAGCTTTATAATTTGTTCCATTCTCTTCATTTTTTTTCTCTTCTCCAGTCCTGCTGTCTCTCTCCTATTCTCCAAGATCCTTCGAATACCCTAGACAACAGCATAGTAATCACACCTGCCAGTTCTTTCAGCCCCAGAAAACATGATTTAGTGGGGCCGGGTGACTGGATTCATTAAGGGGCTCTCTGATGCCCTCGCCACTTATCTCGGATATATCCTTCCCTTTGAGCCATCACTCATAGAAGACTTTAATAAAAAGGCGGAGGAGCAAAAGCAACTAATATTTCAACCATGTATAACAGAATATGTAATATTTGACATCCATAGTCCCCTACCTCTTCAATAAAAGGAGGTATATTTTCTTTTTTTGAATAAATGTTATTGCTCTCGTTTCTTACATCATCATACTTTCCCATAGTATCTCTCCCCCTCCCAGAGAGCCACCCCATACAACAAATAGTAGTTTTAATAAAAAAGAATAGGAAAAAAATCAGCACAGCTGGTCAATACATTGAAAAGGTCCAGAAATATGTGCGATGTGTGACATCTGGGGACCTCCCACCTCCACAAAGGGGTGGGCGTCTTCCCAGGAATCTCTTCATTCAAGTCCCACTTGTTCTTTATCATTCTGCAACATTCATTATTTATTTTTGTATGTGATTGTTCTTTGCATC